TTCGTGCACCATAAAGTGGTCTCCTTTTGAATACGTTCCCATGAAATGAGAACGTCATGCGTTCTCAACTCATGCGTTCAAAGTCATTACACATTTTTATTCCATTCCCCAGATCCTAATTTTCCCGAAACAAATGAAACACATGAATTCGCTTCAATTCAATAATAATTTTTGAACTATGTATATATTTTTTGACCGTAATTTTTTTGAAATTCTATATGGGATTCTTCATCAGCGACCCAAAAAATTGTATACAAAGTTTTAAAAATGCAGCGATAATTGGCGATTTTTGGTATGTTTTGGGGGATTTCATGGCCCGCCATTTTGTTTTTTTTCAAAAATCAACTTCGGATTCTTGATCAGCGACACAAAAAACCCCTGTATGCACAATTTCAGTAAAATAGCTCAATGCCTTTATATTTTGGCCAGCTTTTCGGCGTTTCCGTCCACTGTGCAACGATCCATAAATAATAAATTCTCACGTTACAATTTTCCTAAGAGCAAACAATTTTTCATGCTCGAGTCGTACTTCGGAATGGGCGAAAAGTTTATGGACAATGCCAATATTTCATAGAAGACTGTTTAGAAGAATTTAGGAATGAATTTCCTCTAATGTTGTTTTTGATTACAATACATTTTGATGTAGGTACTCTGAACAATCCAAGATGGAGCTCGAGCACATATTAGCGAACGCATCTTAATTAGATGTACAGGGTTATTCATTATAAATTACCCACCCCTTATCATCGTTATTATTGCCTATTGAAAAAAGTATTAAATAAAAGTTGTGTAGTTATGACTGAATTTTGTTAAAATGCTATCAAAAGTACAATATCGTGCAGATTTCAGGGATACAAAAATAATATTTGTTTTAATGGGATACCCTGTACACTATTAAATTTTTGGAATGATTCTTTGTTCCTGATTTCAAAAATATGCCATATGTTACCTCTACAATATTTTACCGTTTTTGAGTTATTAAACGTCGAATATCTTAGTTAAACTAGTTACTATAAATATGGAAAGTTAACATTATTAAAGTGAGCTATGAAAATGACAACTATTATGTTTGATAAGTGACATTTCTTTAATGAAATAATCAAAATGGTTTACAGTGAGGAAGAAAAGTCAAATATTTACTTGTTGTATATAAAATAACAAAAATAAACATGCAGCAAAAAAGAGCATATAGGGTGTTGTATCCAAATCGTCCAATACCATCAGAAAATAAGATCTAAAATATTTACCGAAAGGTGAATAATACCTCCAGTTGTTGTTTAAATCTTATTTGTTTGTCCAATGTAATTCCTAGGTATTTTACCGTGTCTTTATCTTCTTATTGTCTTGTTGATTTTTAGTTTGTTTGTGGTCTTTATGTTCGTGAATTTCCTAGTTAATGTTATTTGTTTCGGTCTTGTCTTCGTTGAGTTTTACCTTTCAGGTCTTATAATAGTCTGTAAGTTTGTTCGTACGGTAGCGTACTTTTTGTGTAGCTGCCTCTGCGTAGTATGATTGTCCGTAGATAGTGGTGTCGTCTGCGTTAAGTGCTGTTTTCGTGTTGGATAGGTGGGGATATCGGAGAGGTACATGTTAAAAAGGATGGGGATAGGACGGTACATTAAGGTACTCCTGCTTGTATAGTTTTGAGCGACGATACCGCATCGTTGACTCTTACTTTAAATTTTCTGTACTTATATAGCTTTTAATTAAGCTAATAAAATGTAGTGGTAATTTTATTATTTCTTTAAGCTTGTAGAGAAGCCCTGAATGCCATACGATGTCAAGAGCTTTTTCTATGTCTAACAGAAGCATGCATGTGATTGTTTTTTGTTAAATCCTTCCCTGACATCCTGCACGACTCCATAGTGCGTGAGCCGTACTGCTGTACCCATCTTAAAACCGAATTGATTATCCAGTATTATTTGTTTTTTGTCTATGATTTTATTTAATCTTCGCAAAATATTTTCTTCAGCTACTTTACTCATTGAGTTTACTATTCGATCAGTGCTGCTTAACTTCACTCAAAATATCGGAAATTAAACGGATGACCATACTTTATCCCCTTCACACAGTGTAACTTTACAAAAAAAATACTAATTATTTGTAAAAAAGGAAATGGATGTTTTATTTAAAATTTTTATCTAAACTTAAATTTACTACTAGTAGTTATCTGGCCTTAAAAATGATAAAATTTCATATACTCTTATTTAAAAAGTTAAATAATTGTAAGATACACATTTTTCTACCATAAAAAACTGAATGTCCCACTTTACATTTTTTCATATTGTATATATATTTCTGTAGATAAACATAACTATTTTAGGATTATCGTTTTTATAATAATTTATATTATTAATTTATTGGATATATTTATATACTTTCGGTTTATTTTTGTCACTTAATATGCGATAATAATTAATAAAATTTATGCGCATTTTAAACAAAACACATTTCAAAATTTAATTTCGAAATTCAAGGAAGTTAAAATAAATGTCACACAGAAAATCAGAAAATCATCTACAGCATGCAAAAGTTCTTTTATTTTGCAGTAAGATACAAATTATTTCAAAGATTTATATGGTCCTCCAAATAGGCTGATCGGAAAGTGATTTTTCATTAATATTTCAGAAGTCCCCGGACGATTTTCATGAAATTTGATATGTAAATTTATGAACTGATTCTACATCAATGCAAAATGAAGTTCTATATAAGCCGCTAGAGGGCATTCGTTGTAGTCAGCTAGTTATAGTCAACCTGAGAGGTAATGTCTATGAGCACAATAATATCTGATAGTCTTTTGGGGATTTCGGTCAGGTATAGACCAATTTTATTATTTTCTTCTAACGTTTCGGTTTATTACACCATCATCAGAGAACTACAATCAATATGATATTTTAAAAAACATAGTTATGGTTATTTTACATTATATTATTTACTTACACTATTAACTCCACTCAACCAGAATAGACACACACACACACAACAAGCATTCCTGTGGCATTTTGCCAGATGCTCTAGCTAGGCTCAAATTCAGGAGCGATAGACAGTGGATTAGTAGTGTTTTGCTACATAACAACGCTCCTAGTTAACTGTACTACCATTTAGGTATTTTAAAAATGCCACTATACATCCATGCCCTAGCCAGGATTCGAACTCGTGACCCCTTGCTCTCAAGCCTAACGTATAAATAGAGCCACCCAGCTGCTAATTTCGTTCAATTATGTTTGTTTCATTTCAGGTTAGTATTAGAATTCGACTACTTTGTAATTAAAACACTTACTTTTTTTCCTTTATCCACATTGGTATCCGTAACCGCGACCTTCTTGCCGTTAACTGTGGCGTTAACCACGAATCCATGGTTCTCCCTTGAATTCTTAAACCACTCCGATACGGTTTCAGTAAAATCGATTTTCACCCCAATCACCCCTACCTAGAGGTTGGGTGACTTTCTTCGCGAACACCCTATTGAATCCAGGAGGATCAGGGTGATCTGTAATTTTTTTCACTTTAAAAACTTCTATAAAAACATCTGGAAGGGGCCGTCGTTCGGCACCTTTTATGTAAATGTATAGCGTGGCGTTGCTTACATGGAATTTTGTTATACTATCCGTGAACATGAAATGGAGGATGTCATGGCCTTTATGCCTCAGTCTTGGATCTGAAAAAAAAAGATTTTTTTTTTAATTTAATGGAAAAACGCGTTCTAATATTAATACAATGTGATTACTGAAGAAGCGATCGTCATAAAAGTTTTGTCTTTTTATATAAAAAATTAATAGTTCTAAAATATGTCAAAACTTTCAAATGCATCCAGCTGGTTGTCTTTATTTTTTATATTTCCAGTTATTATTAAATTGCTAAAATAGAGTATTTAACATGTCATAAATAGAAAGATATTATTGCCAAACAAGTATAATAACGACGTGCATCTCATCTCATATAAAATCAAAGACGTTTGATAACACACCCTAGTCGATTTGTACAATTGCTAACAGCGAAACTCTCTCTACCCATCGTGATCGATGTACGTTACGATCAAGCATTTTTATTACTATATATGTTTGGCCATTAGAGTATAGGATTTCATGACGACCAGGGAAACTACCGGACATCTACAATTAAGTATGTCACGTATTGCGATGTGCTCCCCTGTACCAATAGCAATATACATGTTTTGTTCTCCTATGATCATATCGGTACTAGAGGCTGAAGAAAGCATCGCAATGACATTATACCAATATTTGTTGAGGTTCTTGTCGATTAAAACCGCAGGTGACACAACTCGCCATCTCTTGATAGAAAAGACAAGTCCGGATGTGTATGTTTTATAGGTTGCAGCACATTTGGCGCTTCCAACTGACTAACAGTTAAATACATCTTTCCACATCTCAACGTTGTTCACCCAGAATACAATAGTAGTGTATTTAGCATATCGTAAGTGGCAAGCTAGTGTTCTTTGACTACGAGTTAGTTATCGGGCATGTTAAATGAGACCACTAAATGTTTTACAAAAACAATATTACCAACATTGTCTTCGTAAATTGCTAATGCGTATCTTGTGGTTGATCTCAAATGCACATTGGATTGAGATGAGCTTCATGCTTTTTAAACCTAGTCTAAATTGATCATTTTATTTGCCCAATATACTTTCATTACAGTCCTTACAATTAATTGCGTAAATCCCCAACTTTTCATTTAGTCCAATTCTTTCTTGTAGATTACCTAAAATGTTTTAATTTATTTCCCGATGTATAAGCCATTGTCATACAACATCTTTGAAAATGATGTGGTTTCAAAAATGACGATGCAACTTGCTACACTGGACGAATTCATGGCATTGTTGGACAACATTAAACACCAACATCACAGGTAATACAACCTCCTGTATCCCTGAAGGTACCTCAAGGTACATTGTGTGGGAGAGGGCTACACATTTAGAGACAATGAGCACACCCAATGTCCGCGTATACAAAGATTAATTTCTAGTTTAGAAAAAATCCTAGCTCCTCCACCGGGGATCGAACCCAGGTCCCCAGCGTAAGAGGCAATTGTTTCTACCACTTGATCACGAAGCCACACATGTTCCAGAATATTCAATTACTCGTTTTGACAAAATTCCTTGGCTATTCATAAGATCTGACTCAGTCGCATGACATTTATTTGGGAGGTTATATGACTCGTAGTTTAATAAAATTCAAGTAGAACAAAATAGTTAAAGCACAATATTCGTAAAGATAATTAAAGAATCCATCCTGATACAACGACAGGCGTAACGGTCACATTGTTGCAATGTTTTTTTAGTAATGCAATGGCAAAATTTATTTGATTTCAAAAAATTGCAGCAAATAATAATCACAATCATGACTGTTAGTATGTGTGCTATAAATCTATAAAAGCAATAATTAATTCATCAAGTTCTGCAATAGATATTGCTTTTAATAAATTTACAAAAATAATCCTTAATAATTAAAAAAAAACGGATAATACAAATTGGTAAAAAATTTACCCTTGCTAACTTGTGAAAATTTACATAGGACAAAACAAAAGGAAGTTTCTACTTTTGGCTTAGAGTACATAATTTATTTTAATAATTAATAAAGAGTAATTAACATTAAAGTGTGACCAAATAGGCCTATCCTTGTTATATTAATATAATTATTTTCGACCGCATCATAGGTGTCTCATATAGGAGATGCAAACCCTATTGCAAACAATACTTTAAAATAATAATCTATTTTATAAATAATAAAACAGTATTATTATTTACTGTTATATATACAAAACCAGATAATTCGACTGATCAATTTACATAATTGACCTATCTCTTTTGTGTGATGTTCCGTTAATTCAGATTCTATCAGTAAGTAAGTGGACAGTGATAACATTTTGATTATGTTTGTTTCATAGTAAGTACAACGCAAAATGTACACAAGAAGATATTTCCGGAAGTTTGAGAGTCGATACTTCCGTAATAAAATAAACATATCAGATACCTAGTTGCTAATAAGTCACTTTGCATGTAATGCAACATGCATACAAAATACTAGCAAAGACCAAGTGGCTGTCGAGTAGCAAACGTTTGTGCTTTTCAAATGCAAAATAACGTATAAGATACATGCTTGTTGCAACTGGCAGTGGCGGAGTAGGTGTCGGACCTCGATATCTCGAGTTCTACGATAGCTAGAAATTTTTTAAAAAATTGCAAAGTAAACCAGATAAAAAAGTCTATAACTGGAAATTATTGAACATACAGGGCGAGCCAAGACGAAATTACAGGACCAAGTGCCTTTTTTTTAATGGAATGCTCTGTATATTAGTATATTTTTGGAAGCCACTTTCTAGGCTCTATTCATTCCTATATTATTTGCTATCTCCCAACCACTTTGATGTAATGAATTTTTTTGTTGGAATAATGCCATCTGCAGATGGATATTAAAAAAAATCACCACAGTCACAATTGTGGCTTTTAAGAAAAACTTATGTGAATACCAGTTACGAGACATCTAATTAATGTTTTTGAATCATTTTCATTTCCTAAAAATTTACAGGGTGGCCAAAAATTAGTATTCAATTAAGAACTTTTTAAATTGAATTATCTCATTTTTTTCAAATGGAACACCCTGTATATTTTTCAACGATGTGATGTAAAAATGAAAAGCGAACATTTTTTGTAAGTACTTCCCTATGGCTAATTGCAACCATTTTCGTTTTATAAATAAATAAGTGTTTATTTTTCAATTAAGAACTTTTTTAAATTGAATTTTTCTCAATTTTTTTCAAATGAAACACCCTGTATATTTTTCGACGATGTGATGTAGAAATGAAAAATGAACATTTTGTGTAAGTACTTCCCTATGGATAATTGCAACCATTTTCGTTTTATAAATAAATAAGTGTCAAATTCAACAATAAACTTAAAAAAAGAGGTTCCCTCAAATAATTCATTAGGAAAATTTATGATAGGTGTTCGACGTGTTGCCCATTTTAATTGACACACATCTTTATACAATTTTGAAATGAGGCCATTTTAGTGGGACCATTTCCATTGAAATGAGTAAATAGTATTTAACCAGTCCATTACTGTAATGTTTTTTTGTAAAATTTTTTGTCTGTTTTCGGTATTCGACAAGCAATAAAACCTCAGTTTGGTATAAATTGTCGTATACAAAGGAGCATTTATCACACTTATCAGTCGTTAGTTACAATTTGTATTGAATTTAAAATATTTGGAATTTTACAATATGAATTTTAATAAAGCGGAACTTGTAGACATGACTTTTGTTTTGGGCGAGTCAGACAGAAATTGTTTACTTGCCAATAGAATTTATCACCAACGTTATCCTGAAAGAAGGCTTCCTGATGTTAGCAGCTTCCAAAACCTTCTCGATAGATTTCTGGAAACTGGAAATGTCGAATATAAAAAAGTGAAAGAATAAAACGTGTTGTGAACGAAGAAAATGAGTTTTCTGTGGTGCTGGCAACGGTTGAGAATCCCCATGTTAGTCAAAGAGAAGTAACTTCATTAGTAGGAATAAGTAGACGGTGTGTGGGTCGGATCTTAAAAACAAATAAGTTGCATGCATATCATATTCAAATGCACCAGGAATTATCTGATGACGATTTTCAAAAGCGCCTACAATTTTGTAATTGGGCCAGAGGTAAAATGCAAGTTGATGTCAACTTCTTCAATAATGTTTTATTCACTGATGAGGCAACTTTTAATAAAAATGAATTTGTTAATAGGCACAATTTCCATTACTATGCTTCGGAAAATCCTCACTTTTTTATGCAAGTTGATAACCAACACAGATGGTCTATAAACGTTTGGGGAGGAATTATTGGAGAACATATAATAGGGCCACATTTCTTTGATGGTACATTGACTGGAACTATTTATCTTCATTTTTTGGCCACAATTATTGGTAAATCTCCCTGGAAGAATTCGAAATACGATGTGGTTTCATCTAGATGGTACTCCACCACATTATTTAAATGCAGTTAGAGACCACTTAAATAATACCTACCCTCATCAATGGATTGAAAGGAATGGACCCACTAAATGGCCTGCTAGATCCCCAGATCTTACAAAAATGGATTTCTTTTTATGGGGATACGTGAAGGAAATTGTTTATAGAGACACACCAACAACAGTACAAAATATGAAGGAAAGAATAATAACTGCCTTTAGATCTATCACACCGGCAGTTTTAGGAACAGTGGGAACCTCATTTCAAAAGCGCATAGAGATGTGTGTCCATCAAAATGGCCAACATGTGGAACATTTATTATAATTTTTTCTACTGAGTTATTTGAAGAAACCTCTTTTTTTAAGTTTATTTTTGAATGTTGTAATTATTGCTCAATAAAACGAAAATGGTTGATTTAGCCATAGGGAAGTAATTACAAAAAATGTTCGTTTTTCATTTTTACATCACATCGTTGAAAAATATACAGGGTGTTCCATTTGAAAAAATTGAGAAAATTCAATTTAAAAAGTTATTAATTGAATGCTAATTTTTAGCCACCCTGTACATTTTTAGGAAATGAAGATGATTCAAAAACATTAACTAGATGTCCCGTAACTGGTTTTCACATAAGTTTTTCTTAAAACCCATAATTGTGACTGTGGTGATTTTTTTAATATCCATCTGCAGATGGCATTATTTGAACAAAAAAAATTCATTACATCAAAGTGGTTGGGAGATAGCCAATAACAATATAGGAATGAATAGAGCCTAGAAAGAGGCTTCAAAAAATGTACTGATATACATAGCATTCCATTTAAAAAAAGGCACTTGGTCCTCTAATTTCGTCTTGGCTCGCCCTGTATGTTCGAAAATAATTTCCGGTTATAAACTTTTTTACCTAGTTTACTTGCAATTTTTTAAAAAAATTTCTAGCTATCGTAGAACTCGAGATACCGAGGTCCGACGCACTATTGCCCCACCCTGTATATATATATATACATACATGATTTAGTTTTTATTCATGAATGTGAAGTAATGCTGGGCGTTTGGTGTTTGTCGGTTAACAGGGTGTTTTACTCCCTAAATTTTTTGCATTTAGTTAGTTAAAAAAATCAAGGACACTCTGCTTATCTTAAAACTAAAAAAACACCCAATCATAAGTTATCAAGTGACTTCAAAAATTCCCCGAAAATGGCATTGTTTTCAAAATGTGGAGAAACATCATTAGGATGAGTTTTAAATAATCGAGTTTTAGACCCAGTTGTAAATCTACAGCAAAAAATTCGAACAATAATAATTTGTTGTTTTTTTTTAAATAGTAGCTTATCTAATTGATTTTATTTAGACAGACTGTTAATTTTTGGAAAAAATTCCTCACCAGTACAGTCCAGTTCTTCCTTTAAGGTCAAGCTTAATTGGTGTGCAAACTCGCAGTAACCCAATGGTAGGAAAGACATATCCTTCGTGGCATAACGTTAAAAAAATGCTAATATTATGCAAGGAATACTTAATGTGAAAACTTTATTTTAAAATATTCGTATTCACCTAAAACAACATTTTCGTTCTAGTTACACACCGAAAGAGGTTTATTTAAAAAAAGACGATACAAAAAATAAAATGTAATTAATATTATATTAGTATGTGCTGAGTTTATACAAAATAAATCCTCGTTAATCATTAATGTATCCATTTATTCAGGTACATAATATAAAAGACGAAAAAATCAATTTAAGATAATTTCATGTCATTTTACAAACAAAAAGGTTTATGTGCTTCTGCAAGATCGGTTTAAGTAATTTCTGAGATTTTCTCATTAGAATGATGATACACGTGGATTTATATTTATATCTGGCCTATATCTTTGAATATAATAATTTTTATAATGGTGCAGTCCTAGAAAAGAGCTGTTATAGTGCAAGACTAATGCCAGTTATTATTATTATTATTATTATTAATTATTGATACTTGTCAAATCTCTATGTATTTTAGATACACGTGTGAGATGACCGATATTTTATAACACTATAATACTACCCTAAATAATAATAATAATAATAAATTTATTTATCTAAAAAGACATAATTACAAGGAAAAAGACAATAATAACA